ACTCTGGTAATAGTCGTAGTTGGATTAGGGATATCCTGCTGTTACTCTGGTAATAGTCGTAGTTGTATTAGGGATATCCTGCTGTTACTCTGGTAATAGTCGTAGTTGTATTAGGGATATCCTGCTGTTACTCTGGTAATAGTCGTAGCTGTATTAGGGATATCCTGCTGTTACTCTGGTAATAGTGGTAACGGTATAAAGAGTTAGCCTGCTGTTACTCTGGTAATAGTCGTAGTTGTATTAGGGATATTCTGCTGTTACTCTGGTAACAGTGGTAACGGTATAAAGAGTTAGCCTGCTGTTACTCTGGTAATAGTCGTAGTTGTGTTGGCGATATCCTGCTGTTACCCTGGTAATAGTCGTAGTTGTATTAGGGATATCCTGCTGTTACTCTGGTAATAGTGGTAGTTGTATTATGGATATCCTGCTGTTACCCTGGTAATAGTCGTAGTTGTATTGGCGATATCCTGCTGTTATTCTGGTAATAGTCGTAGTTGTATTAGGGATATCCTGCTGTTACTCTGGTAATAGTCGTAGTTGTATTAGGGATATCCTGCTGTTACTCTGGAAATAATCATATATGCATTGAGAGTGTTTTTATTGTCACATAAGAGGGAGTCACTTTTATAGTAAGAGTGATTTTATTACTTTTGATATAATCGTTCATCAACTGAGGGCATTTCTGATATTAATCTTTGAATAATCGTGCTTGCTGCATTGAGATGGTGTTGAAATTTCTCTTGATGTGGTCGTTATTACACTAATCTATCATTAACTCTACACATCATCGTATTTATATCATTAGGGTTATGCAATTGCTCTAATAAAAATAGGTCTTATGTTATGAGTTACTTTACTGTTACCAACTTTGTTTCCATTGAGAATGTTCTTCATTTCCTCATAGTATAATATTATGAGGATTAGAAAAATCCTTCTCATATTTCCTTTCAGTGTGATATTTCTGTTACTTTAGTGTACTGTTATTATCGCGTAGATAACCTTGCTCGTATTGAGAATGACTTAGGAATTTGTCTGGAGGTAAATTCATGTACTGAAACCAATTCGATTGTTGCATTTTGAATGTTTATACTATATAACATGTAGGAGGCATATTCCGCTCTATTCAAAGCTATTATATTTGGTTAATTAGGGATCTGTGGAAACTTATAAACTTCGTGTACGTTCAGCCTTATCCACATCTGGGATCCTATTTTGTCGGAGCTGCAACCGGATACTTGGTAGTGAAGCAACCTGTAATTAAGTTGTCCAAGGTAAACATGTATTCATCTATTTTGACAGATACGTATATTTACGCGCCCCCTCCCCCGATGACTCAACGATAAACCTGAAGGCTTATAACGCTGAAGGGCCCGGCATGGCCAGGTGGTTAGGGCGCTCGACTCGCAATCTGAGGGTCGAGTTCGAATCTCCGTCCAATCCAACATGCTCGCCCTTTCAGCCGTGGGGGCGTTATAATGTGACGGTCAATCCCACTATTCGTTGATAAAAGAGCAGCCCAAGAGTTGGTGGTGGGTGGTGATGACTAGCTGCCGTCCCTCTAGTCTTACACTGCTAAATTAGGGACGGCTAGCGCAGATTGACCTCGTGTAGCTTTGCGCGAATTTCAAAACAAACAAGCAAACAGAGTGGGCTATTCGCACTCTGTTCACCGCGGGGATTCGAGTCCTGGAATTTAGCGTTAAAAGTTCGTTAACCTATCGCTGATCCACCGGGGGAGAGTATTTCAGGATAGGATAAGTACATTTTATGAGGGAAGTAATAGTACCACTACATTTCTAAGAACAATTTTATTCATCAACAAATGTATTAAAGTCACCAAAGAAACGCTGGGATAAGACGGCCACTTCAAGTACGAATGTATATTTAACCAATTTTAATGAACGTCACGAAAGAACAAACGGTTTTATATGAAATATGTACTATCATAAATACCTTCTAGTTAAAACAAAAATTATACACAGGCGTTATATTTTTTTCCTTCGGGTATTGGCAAATTTCACTTGTCGTTGGAAGCTGTTTCACTTATAAATTTGGATAAAACTGGACACCTTTTTTTCCCCCATCTAATTCAAAACAATTACAATTGAAAATAACTGCTGTATCTAGCAACTGCATTGAAATCAGTTAAAATTATCATTTAAATTATTCTGGCTGGAATAGGAAAGAACGTGCGCTATGCGCATTATTTAAGACAATGCCACAAAAGAATGTGAATGCTAAACATGAATACCATCTTACATAGGTACTAGTGTGAAATGTGGGGTTGCGTCTGACCTTAAGCCATCACTGTAAATAAACTTGAACTGTATTTCTTTACGGCATATTCGTCTGCTTATAATTGCGTAACCATAAAAAATCAAAGTGCTATCAACTTTTGTCAAAGTTGATAAAAATATATGTATCGCGCTTTTATCATTCACTTTCGTGCCTGTTGTTTATGCATAGGGTTAAATACACAAAAGTATAATAATTCACTTAAATTGCAGAACGTAATAAGTGATGATATACAGGAGTGTCAGTTTTACCGAAGGGGACCGTCTTATCTCACTTTACTCTGGCAATATTCACTGTAACGAACTAGCCATAAAAGTAAGTGAAATAATTTAACTTGAATGTAAAAATTTAGAAAACTTCAGCAGTAATAAATGAGCTCAACGGGATACGGATTATATTTTTTGTTTAATTTTTCGTGTAGCACTTATGACACCAACAAAAGACCCACAACCATCTGTTTTAGAGCTAATCACATTTGTTTCCTTAGAAATAAACCAAAGGTCAGTTAAGCTGGGGAAAAAAAATTATATGTAGCCTGGTGGTTTTCGTACAAAGTACAAGTTGGAAGGTCCCACGATCGAGCTACAGTATCTTTCCAAACACGTTTCGCACTTTCAACAATGGAAGATTTATAATTCTATTAGCGAAAGTATCCGGCTTTGCACGGGCTATTAGGTTGATATATTTCAGCAAGTACATAAAATTTATCCTGAAAGTAAAACTATCGATCCAGTTTAAAACTTAAATCGTTTCTAAATTAAGATATTTTCTGTTATATCACCAACGTTTTTAATAAAAAACAAACCTCCTTAATCAACGGAGACTCTAAATTAAGAAATCAACAAATGTTATTCCAGTTTTGTTGTTTATACATTTCATTTTATACTTTCACTACATAGACTATCAAAAATATTAGTTTATACTTTTGTTGCTAAGCAACATGACATAAAAGCCATTGTTGCAACGCATTGTTACCAAAACGCACTGGCTTTTCTATATATTAGAAAGTGTTTATCTAACTGATGTACTACAGAGTATACTATGAGGCGCGCACGCACGTGAATAAGATAAATAATAATAATACCCACGTGCACACCCTCAGGTTCCACTTAGTATGGGTGCAAAATTTGATGTTTCTAGGTTCTTTCTTCTCGGAGCTACGGCAGTTACACAAACACAGCCACATTCTTTTATTATTATAGATTGTCAATCCAGTTATTTGGTTAAAAGTATCTACTTAAGTGGCCAGCCGCTGATTGGTTGCACTTCCTCTATTCACTTATGACTTTGAGATGTCTATGCCTGGTCCCGGCATGGCCAGGTGGTTAAGGTGCTCGACTCGCAATCTGAGGGTCGCGGGTTCGAATCCCCGTTCCACCGAACAT